CACACACACACACACACACACACACACACACACACACACACACACACACACACACACACACACACACACACACACACACACACACACACACACACACACACACACACACACACACACACACACACACACACACACACACACACACACACACACACACACACACACACACACACACACACACACACACACACACACACACACACACACACACACACACACACACACACACACACACACACACACACACACACACACACACACACACACACACACACACACACACACACACACACACACACACACACACACACACACACACACACACACACACACACACACACACACACACACACACACACACACACACACACACACACACACACACACACACACACACACACACACACACACACACACACACACACACACACACACACACACACACACACACACACACACACACACACACACACACACACACACACACACACACACACACACACACACACACACACACACACACACACACACACACACACACACACACACACACACACACACACACACACACACACACACACACACACACACACACACACACACACACACACACACACACACACACACACACACACACACACACACACACACACACACACACACACACACACACACACACACACACACACACACACACACACACACACACACACACACACACACACACACACACACACACACACACACACACACACACACACACACACACACACACACACACACACACACACACACACACACACACACACACACACACACACACACACACACACACACACACACACACACACACACACACACACACACACACACACACACACACACACACACACACACACACACACACACACACACACACACACACACACACACACACACACACACACACACACACACACACACACACACACACACACACACACACACACACACACACACACACACACACACACACACACACACACACACACACACACACACACACACACACACACACACACACACACACACACACACACACACACACACACACACACACACACACACACACACACACACACACACACACACACACACACACACACACACACACACACACACACACACACACACACACACACACACACACACACACACACACACACACACACACACACACACACACACACACACACACACACACACACACACACACACACACACACACACACACACACACACACACACACACACACACACACACACACACACACACACACACACACACACACACACACACACACACACACACACACACACACACACACACACACACACACACACACACACACACACACACACACACACACACACACACACACACACACACACACACACACACACACACACACACACACACACACACACACACACACACACACACACACACACACACACACACACACACACACACACACACACACACACACACACACACACACACACACACACACACACACACACACACACACACACACACACACACACACACACACACACACACACACACACACACACACACACACACACACACACACACACACACACACACACACACACACACACACACACACACACACACACACACACACACACACACACACACACACACACACACACACACACACACACACACACACACACACACACACACACACACACACACACACACACACACACACACACACACACACACACACACACACACACACACACACACACACACACACACACACACACACACACACACACACACACACACACACACACACACACACACACACACACACACACACACACACACACACACACACACACACACACACACACACACACACACACACACACACACACACACACACACACACACACACACACACACACACACACACACACACACACACACACACACACACACACACACACTGTTAAAAAAAAAAAAAATACAAGTTAAACTCTTATTACAAAATAAACCTGAATTTTTAATTTTATCAAATTTAAATCCTGCTCTTTTGAATTGTTGTCAATATTAATCATTCACCCATTTTCATTACAAAAATAAAATATTTTACCCATTAAACTCAATGTATATATAAAATGTTCAAAATATTTTTTTATCATAAATTTTACTTAACAAAAATATACAAATGACAATTAAAAATTAAAAAATTATTTTATTACAAAAGTCTTAACCATAAATTTTATTTTATTTAAAATACAAATTATCCCTTATAGTTCTAAAAATTACATCACATCTTTCAAGACTCTTTTTATTAATGAATTATCAAGTTAATTAATATTTTTTTAATGATATAAAATATGCAATTCCCTTAATAATTTTAAAAATTTTAATGCTCAATAACAACAATTGTTTTATTGTTTTTTACATTAACTCTGTTACATTACAAATTCTAACAAAAGAATAATTATAACCTTGCTTGTATTCAAAAAATTAAACCCCTTTATCAGAAAATTAAATTTTTTATTTTTCATATTTTTTATTTTTAATTAAATAATAGTTTAAACATTTAAAAAAAATTAAGATACCCCATAATATTTACACAAAAAAAAAAAAACAGAAATTAAGAACATATAAGTATATATATGTGTCTGCTAGATGATTATATATATATATATGTTACCTTCTGAGAATTCCATGCATCATGACGACCACATGATCTACTAAGAGAGAGAGATCGCTGCAAAACAAATCACCATCCCTGTCATAATCAAACCAAATCTGAGCCACCATCACAACCCCTTTCCCACCATCGCCGAACCCACCAACGCAAGAAGGAGAGAGAGATTGCTACAAAATGAGATTTAGAAACCAAATCTCTTTAACCTTGTTCAGTGACTAGAGATTCAACCAAATGCTTGATAATCGAAGTAAATGGAGGTTTCATGACGTGAGAGGGGAAAGAAGCAGTAACGGTGACGCAGGTAGAGCAAACAGCAGAATTAGGGTCACGGAGGCGATAGACTACGACGGAGAGGAGTTTGGAGAGAGAGAGAGAGATAAGGTTTAATTTGAAAGAATCAAATTTTTCTGTGATATATGAGTGTGGAAATTGAGGGACCTTAGACATTATAAAATAAAATTGTGGATCTCTTCCATTACTAAATATGGAAGAGGGACCTTAAACTAATTTTCCTTAAAATATATACTTATTTACTTTATGAGAAATAAAAAAAAAAAAATGTATAAAGGCTTGACACTTATAACAAATTTTTTTTTTATTTTGTCAATTTAAATTATTTATTTATTTTCATCAAGTAAAACTGATAAAAATAATATTTTAGTTATTAAGGCCTGATTTGGGGGTGTTTTAAAAAATTAAACAAGTTACAAAAAAACCAAAAAAATTATCATAATTCACAAATTAAAAATATTAAAAAATTAATATACATAATATTTTAATCAAACCAACTTTATACATTTTTTTGGGGGCTGAATTGACCACTTTAGTACTGTGGACAAGGAAAAAAAAATTATGTATATAAAATCACTATCTTGGATGGTAATGTTGGGTCTGTGGGGGCTCACCGCGGGTCCTGTTTTGATAATCCGAATCGTCAATGTGTATAAATCGTCCGGAACTACATGCGTGTAAAAAATCATGTTGATCGGATATCACTAACTACATGATCAAATCAGTTTTTGTATAAAAAATGGATGGTGTTACAGTTAACAGTTGACAAAAAAAACTAACACGATTAGATAGTTATCGATATCCAATTAACGTAATTTTTTATAAGCATATAGTACTCGACGAGTTATACACATTGAAAGGTTTCGATTAGCAAAACGGGATCTGTGGTAGGCTCTCACCAGCCGAACAACACAGTCAAATTCAAGCCCGAAAAAAGAGGTAATCATATCTTATCTTATAACCACCCGACCACCCGGCCCAACTTGTACGGTCTAATCCACAATCTTCTCCTACACATTTATTTATATAATTTTTTAGTATATATTTTTTCGTAAAAAGTCAAAAAGTTAACTAAAACATCTATATTTTTTTCTCAACTTTTTAGTCCAAAAAGGTAAAAAGTGCACTTATTTATGATATCCCAAGCAACCCTTAAATTTAACAAAAATTTATATTTTAGACATTTTATGTATACATATAATAATTTAATGATTAATTTTTTTTCTTCTTTTCACGTAAGAGTTTATTTTGTTTCAATGGTCAAATTCTTTTTTTTTTAATATTTCTTGTCCCTTTAGTTTATGTCGGACCAAATTTTAAAATTAAAAATTAAAAAAAAATAAAAATGAAGAGTTAGTTTTGGTATTAGATGGGATGTTCGAATTTTTATTTTTTTTAAAAAAATTCCAAATTAATTGATGGGATGAAAATGGGGAGTTTGGAAAAATTATGTTAGTATTTATTAGCAATAGAAAGGGATCCCACGCAACACCTTTTTCATCTAAAAAATTGTGACCTTTGGATCCGGAGGCCGTAACTAGTGACAATGAGTAGTTGAATTATAACGTTTGAATCAATTGATAGATAAGAGTCCTACTTTTACAAGTGAGTCTTATTGACCATATTTATTTATCTATAAATTATACTCTTTTTGTTTCACTTATCAATGTTCCTAAAAATTGTTAGGACAAAATAAATATTTTAAAATTTATTGATATATTAAAAAAGTATACAATATAAAATTTATAGATAGACTAGTGGATAATTCGGCCTTGAGAAGAAGGGTTAGAGAAGACCAGACCCAATAGCAAAACCCAAATTAAATTGGGTGTATAACAGAAGTTGGGCCTGCTAAACGCAAGACAGCCGGGCCCAGTAGAAACTATCGGGTCGGGCAATAAGCCGAATCGTTTCGAAACATATAAAATGGGTTTCGAAATACGCGCCCTCTTCAAAATCCCCACACCACAACCCTAACCACACAGTGCGCGCGGGAGAGAGAGAGAGCGAGCTGGAAAAGCTTCTCTACAGTGTATCAATGGCGATTCACAGCTCGAATTCCGATGAAACAAAAGCTTCAACACCTCATTGCAGCAAGGCCAATCACAACCAGTTCTTCGGTATGCTTTCTTATCTATCTATCTATCTGCAAATTTCATTCAATCATCGATCCTCAGCTCAACTCCAAACGAATATAACTTCTGTAGAAACCATATTTAACCTGCATAGTATACAGAATCTAACGTATGTAGTTTGTGTATACACACAGATGCTCATACTACTGCCGGTGGTGGAGTTCATCTGAAATGGAGATATTGTGGAAATTATGAATATATGTATATATTTGGGTGGATTACACTTTGCCCCTGTTTGGCCATTTTTTGAAATTTTTTATTTTTATTTTTTACTTTGGCCTTAAAAGTTTTTTTTTTCCCCTTCAATTTACTCCAAAAGCTGACTCATGTTCAAAATTAGATAAAAAATGACAGATCGACAGTCACGTGATATAATTTTTTTTATTGTATATAACTTACACATCTACCGTAAACTCAAATCCCAATATAATAATATATTTTTCAATGTTTTGTGGAAGTCAACATTTCATTTTCTATCTAATTTTGAAAAGAAGCTAGTTTTAGGAGTAAACTGGGAAAAACTTGAAACATGGCCAAAGTGGGAGAAAAAACAAACTTTAATGCTGTGTTTGGTTGGGGGATTTGGAGAGGGATTTGGAAAGGGAAATGGAAAAGGTAGGTAAAATGTGAATAAATCATGCCTATATTTCACATAGTTTTACACACCTTTTCCTTTTCCTTTTTCCTTTCCAAATCCCTCCCCAAATCCCCTAACCAAACACACCATAAGAGTCAAAATGAGAAAATGGCCAAACATAAAGGAGGCAAAGTGTAATTTACCACATATATGTAAACTATTTGATTGGCCTATTGTAAATTTGTACTAGTTTGAATATCTAATATATATATCGTCCTTGTCTAGTCGCTTTCACATCACATCTGATTTTTATTGAGGATAATGGATTCCCTCCTAATTTTTCCTAATTTGTTATGAAAATTTGACCCTCAGTGGGTAATATATAATTTCTCAAACCTCAGGAGAGAATTTATATTTTTACCAAACCTCGAGAGGAGTGTTTGTAATTTGCCCTTATAAAATTATGTAAACATTATCATTATATAAATAGTTACTCCGATCTCCCTCTCCTCTTCCTTTCCCTCTCTCTGATACTCCTTGCATGTAATTTTTCCTCTTTTTTTTTTTTTTTTTTTTTTCCTTCAATTTACTCCAAAAACTAACTCATGTTCAAAATTAGATAAAAAATGACACATCGACAGTCACGTGATATAATTTTTTTTTATTGTATATAACTTACACATCTACCGTAAACTCAAATCCCAATATAATAATATATTTTTTAATGTTTTGTGGAAGTTAACATTTCATTTTCTATCTAATTTTGAAAAGAAGCTAGTTTTAGGAGTAAACTGGGAAAAACTTGAAACATGGCCAAAGTGGGAGAAAAAACAAACTTTAAGAGTCAAAATGAGAAAATGGCCAAACATAAAGGAGGCAAAGTGTAATTTACCCCATAGATGTAAACTATTTGATTGGCCTATTGTAAATTTGTACTAGTTTGAATATCTAATATATATATCGTCCTTGTCTAGTCGCTTTCACATCACATCTGATTTTTATTGAGGATAATGCAATTTTGTTTTTAAGATGTGTTTAAATAATTGGTTATTATGATGTATTTGTGGCATTAGAGAGTGTTGAGCTGTATGTGTGTTGTGGTTGCAGTATGGAGAGAATTCTTGTGGGGAGGTATTGCTGGAGCTTTTGGGGAAGGAATGATGCATCCAATTGATACTGTAAAGACACGGATGCAAAGTCAAGCCATTTTTAATGGATGTCAGGTATAAGTTGTCAAGTGGGTTCAATAATTCATGATATCATATGGAAATGTATGAGGGTTGGGCTTTGAATAAAAAAACAGTAGTAATTTTCATTGTATATAGTTGGCTTTTATTCATTTAACACTTCATTATTTGAAATATTAGTGACAAGGCTTAGTTGAATTGAATTGAATTGACTTTTTTGTAATTATAAATTTGGTTAAGGGATCAATCTCATGTAAGCCTGCCATTTTTTTGTTATTTTTTATGTTATTGATATATGGCTTAAATACTATCAGAATCAGAAAAGCATATTACAGATGGTTCGGACAGTCTGGGTCACTGATGGGCTAAGAGGTACATCATCTTTAATTTGCGTAGGATTTTAATTTTGTAGATGACAGTTCTTTGTACATTGAATGTCTTTTCGTATTCACAAAACTTCTGCATGGATGATCTTGATTGAGGAATATTTTCTCGACTCGTTAATCATTTTACGTTCTAAAAATATATATTTTACAAACTAGGGGCTTCTTGTACTGTATTTCCAGATGAGGTGAAAGCATGGTTACTAAAGGCTTTTTGAAAGCGTGAAAAGTAACCACACTTAAATTTCTGTTTTTTGAAGCTAGATTTGGTGTAGAAGCCTACTAATAGTCGAAGTGTAAAGAAAATGGGGTTGCTAACCTCACTTTTATTAAAAAAAGTAGTTAGCAATCATGTTTTCAACAGAGTTTGAATATAAATAAAAATGTGAAAGCGAAGTTACTAAAAACGTGTCTAGCAACTACTTTTTCATGTTGTTTGGGAAATAAGTTCAAAATACTCCTATTTTTTTATATTATAAATATGTTTAAAAGACATGTAAAATGGTTAAAGGCCCAATTTTCTCTGTACCTGATATGCATTTTGGAGTTCATATACTGTTGAATGTAGAGAAGATATGAGAACAGTCAAATTTTTAATAATTGATGGATTTACAAATCTGATGTATAGGAACTTGAATAATTGGGATCTTTCTATTGCCTCTTTCATACATCAGTGAACTTGCTGTTTCATAAGTTTGTCTGAATTGATTATGTTAACAGGCTTCTACAGAGGAATAGCTCCTGGGGTTACTGGATCTCTTGCAACTGGAGCAACGTATTTTGGTGTTATAGAGTCCACTAAGAAGTGGATTGAAGAAAAACACCCTAGCCTTGCGGGCCACTGGGCACATTTTATCGCTGGAGGTCTTGGTAAGCTGTTTACCTTTTCATTCTTTGTCAAACATTGGCAGTTGCCAGCGTTATCAAGGGAAATTGGGTCCATCTATCTATCTGTGCTCTTTTCTTTTTTTTTGTTGATAAATCTATCTATCTGTGCTCTTTGTACTCAATGTGTGTTGGGTTTGATGTTGTCTTAGTGCTTGTTACAATCATTGTGCACGGACCCCTCATATTGGTGCATCAAATGCATAAATTTTCTCTTAACTATTGTTTAATGTCGATGTCATTGTTGTCCATATTTTTTGTTATACTACGGCATGCTTCTTTTTTATTTTATTTTATTTTATTTTTATTTTTTGTAAATTAACAACATTAGTGATCTTGGATTATGAGCTGTTGGCATGCCTTAGAGAACTCAGAATATGTCTTCCTTTTCTCCATGCATTTCAGGAGATACACTTGGCTCTTTTGTGTATGTTCCATGCGAAGTGATAAAGCAACGCATGCAGATTCAAGGCACTAGAAAATATTGGAGTTCTGTAGTCATAAAGGACAATATGAAACCTGGCATGCAAATGTATGGCTACTATTCAGGAATGTTTCAGGCTGGCTCTTCAATATTGAAGGAAAAGGGGCTAAAAGGATTGTATGCAGGGTATATTTTGATATCAACTCCTCAACCTTAATTCTTTGGAACATGTTTTCTTTAGAGAACACCTATTTGACTTGACTCTTGAGATGATTCGAGCTGCACCAGTACCACTTAGAATTAACCCCCTTATTGGAACTCCACTGAAAGTGGAGTTTCCTAATTATACATAATTGGAATAATGCTAGACTAGAGGTACCTTAAATTTTACATTATTTTACTTTCTCTCTCACATGGCGTGTGGGACCCACACCATCACATCATGGGGTCCCACACCCCATGTGAGAGGGGGAGTAAAATAGTGTGTAAAATTTTAGGTACCTCTAGCATTGCTGTAATTGGAATCATCATTATTTTAGACATTCAACTATTCAATTGAAAAAAGTTGTGAACAAGCAGGTCTGAGGCTGGAAATCTTTGGTAGAATTGTAATGGGTTCATGGTATTGGGTGTACATTTAAAGTTGAATTGAAAGCTTTCAATGCATGCTGTCACCTATACCATGGCAGCTTTATCTGTTTCGCTCGCATAAATTTGTGCTTGATGAACTGTGTTATTGACATTTGTTTTCTTTAGTTCTCTTGAATTCTACATGTCATTGTTTTTCATCTCGTGTTTCTTTGGCAGATATTGGTCTACACTTGCAAGGGATGTGCCGTTTGCAGGTCTAATGGTAAATAAATTTATTTCGGAATTCTGCTGTTTCTTACTTCATTGTGGTTCTTTTTTAAACTGTACATAGAGATTTAAGCTATCAATTTATATGGCTGTAGAGGAGATTGCTCAATTCTGTTCAAGCTGACTGAGTCACTAAAATCAATACACGACTTGCCTGGTCAGTGAATTGAGTGTCGAGTTCTTGTATGAAAAGCATGCTTAATGATCCACTGAAAATTCTTGAGCTATGTTGTTGTTTGCAATCTAAGTTATTCTTCAAGGCGTTGGACTAATGTTCCTGTTTGTTTTAATATATTAAGTTTTGCATGTCCTTCTAACAATTGTTTTTTCGAAATTCAAAATTGTTGTGAATCCTAGCTTATGCTTTTCCTTGTTGAAGTTATAGACAATAATTTTTTTTTAATTAATTGCATGCCGAAATAGTTAGAGTTGGTTCAAATGTGAAAAGATTAAACTGGATATTTGGTAAACTAAAAGGACATTATTACTGGATGTTGCTCCCTTTTAATTGAAAAGACTGGATACGGAAGTAACATTTGCCATTTTTAATGCAAAGTGTCCGCACTCAGACTCTACCCGTGTTCTCATGCATAGCAATGTTCCTCACGTTTGGTGAACTAAAGAAAAATATAATAGAACCTCATCAAAATGGAAAAACATTGTACGTAATTGAAAACTCCTAATAATTATACAGTGTTGTAAGTAAACCAAATATTTCAGATGTGTATTGCTTCATCAAAGTGATTATATTGTCCATGGAAAGGTTACACATCAGTACATAACACCGAAAAAAACTCTCCTTGATATATTATTTGCCACATGATTTGTATCCAGAACAGAAATTCGTTTTCTAACTGCTTTGCAATTCCAGCTGTTAGGATTTCATTTTGATTTGGGTCTAGAGACAGGTAAATGTGTTCACTAAAACTGGGACCCCTTGGCTTCCCTTCTGTTAGCATGTTTCAATCAGTAGTGTGTGTGTATTATGTTTTAAATTGAGTATTGACTGATGGTGTACCATAAGACTGTTAATTTCTCAAGCTGGAATCACATGTGATAATGCTTGATTCTGGTCTCTCTCTTCCTCCTGTAATTGTAGAAGCTGCTGCCAATATGCATGCATCTATTGTTTTGGTTGACTTCTATTGATCTGCTTTGACTCTCAAATTACAGTAATTTGTGTTCATATTAATTTTTTTGTTGTTTCCAGGTTACCTTTTACGAGGCCCTAAAAGATTTGACGGAGTTTGGAAAGAAAAAGTGGATTCCCAGTTCAGGTTACCATGTTAATAGTTCCATTGAGGGACTCTTGTTGGGAGGACTAGCTGGTGGTAAGTGTCTTGCTCGTGAAACTTCTAACTAATAAAGTACTGGAATTCTTGTAATTGAATTTGGCAAAGTACTTTTTTAACTTCTATTGAAACTAACATTTTTGACATGTTGAAAATTTTATAGGTTTTAGTGCATATCTCACCACTCCCTTGGATGTCGTCAAGACAAGATTGCAAGTACAGGGATCAACTTTAAGGTATCACCTATTTTGTTTCTTTCATTATTTTAATGAGATTTAGGTGTGGTGAGACTAATCTTCGGAAACTTCTCATAATAAGCATCTTTTGTATGCCTATACTAGATGTTTTCGAGCATTGGTCATGGGTTTTTCTTTCCTTCATTTGTTCTGCTCATTTTCATATGACAGTTCCTGCTTGCTCTTTCCCACTTCATCAGCTGGTTAGCTGTTCAGTTGCCTAGTCATTCTCCTCCCTCTTTTCCCATCTGTGTTGCTCACGCACACACATACACACAAGGGAGCACAGTCTCACACTCCTCCCTCTATTTATATTACTCAAATGCACTTCAACTTAGTACTCTAGGCTAAAGTTGCCTGAAGGTTGCCGTTACATGAATGTAGTCTGTTGCGTTCGTGGTCAAGGGATTTGCTTCTTTCAGTTGATCTGTCACAACTGTAATAGTTGTTTCTATGTCTGAGCAATGCTTTTTGTTTTTGATTGAATGGAGAGAAAATGAAAATGAGTAAAATATCAAATTTAAGATCTCTAATAGTGTGGTATCATCTTCAGGTATAATGGTTGGATAGATGCGGTTCGTACTATATGGATGACTGAAGGCATAGCAGGAATGTTCAGAGGTAGCATTCCCAGAATCATGTGGTACATTCCAGCATCTGCTCTTACGTTCATGGCCGTTGAATTCCTCAGAGACCATTTTAAAGAAGCATCAAACAACGATAAAGTGCATGAAGTCGCAAGCATATCAATCGACAAAAAGGAATCTTCTTTCCAAGAGGTGTCTTAAAAACTTATACTGAATTACACGACTTTTCTTCACCATCCAGTTAATTTTAGTGAGATAGAGCTCTGTACCGTATTAGAATTCAAGATCAATAGGTTACCATATTGGATCAATTGTATTCTTTTGATGAAAGCCTCAGGAACATGGAAATGACATTGAGAATTTGTCCGAGTTAGGATTGAATTTTTTTTTTTTAATATGCTTTGTATTACAATTACAGGAACAATGATGAAATGTTGTCCAATCTTGATTTTTGTTTCTTGCAGCTGTGGTTCTTATTGTGTGATTCGCAACTTTTTTGTTTTCATGTCAAGAAATGGTTAAATGGTGTTTTTGGGTGATGCTATTTTTGTGATTTAACCTTTCCTGGACAAATTTAGGCTGTGGTATGGAGTTTTAATTATGATTCCACAATGTATAAGGTAACGTTTGGTAGAATTTTATAAATATAATTTAAAAATAGAATTGTATTTTGAGTTTGTAAGTTTTGAAATTATGATTTGAGTGTAGAAAATTTGTTTGGTTATGAGTTTTGAATTAAATTTGAAATTTTTGATGTGACATGATATTTGATTTAAAAATTTACAACTTATAACTAAACACATAATTCAAAAAAATTTAAAAAACTCATTAAAAACTTAAAAAAATTTGAAAAATAGTTTTTATTTAAAATATAAAAAAAATAATTGGTGCCAATTGTTAAAAAAAAACAAAAAAAAAAAACCCTATTCCGGTCAACCGGCCAGACGTCTGGGTAAACTAAATTTCAAAATTTAAATTCCGCCTGAAAAGTGTTTTCAAAAGGGGAGTGAAAATGTATTTTGAAAACTTTATCCAAACACAGCTCAAAATACATTGTAAAATTGTAATTAAAACTCCACACCAAACAAGATTTTTTTTGGGTAGGTCTAGTTTACACTAACAAGATCTTTTACAAGCATTTTAAAGGTTGGTGGTCGAGAAGAGAAGATGGCGGTAAGTGTAGGTGTGTAGGTTAGGATTTAGAAGATTAATAAGACGAGGAGAATTTTAATATTATAGATGTAATAAACAAATAAGAAAAATTTAGAGACAAAAATTCTTAGATCATAAAATGCATAAGAACATAAAGATAAAAATTTAATCATTTGCTCAGCATTTAGTTTAATTTTTTAAAAGAAAACAAAATTTTGTTTATCATGCTATTATTCTCTTTATTTATTTTATTTTATTTTTTATTTGTGTCTCAATGACAATGCCAAGCACTTTAAAAATGATATAACAGACGTATAAAGTACTCCAAATCAAAACTAGTAAGTATCTATTTTCCTATTGAATGGTTAACTAGCAAAATTTCCAGAAATTTCAGAAAAATGTGCCTTATGAGGTTGATTCCAACAATCTCATACAAACACAATCATTCAACATACAAATATTTAATTTAACTGAGCATATAATTCTTGACAATAAAATGGCAAAAAAAAAATTTTTTTTTAAATTAAAATTAAAAAATCATGTGGACTCCATTTCATCAGGACACAAGATATGGTTTAGTTTGATTTGGTTTGTTTTCACATAACCATAATAACAGAAAAAGACTTTCAAAAATTTTGGAGATTGATTTCAGTCTCAAAGTTACTGTTGTTTCAGTTTAGTGTGGACTGTCATGCACACAAACACATCACAAATAGTCATCAGCCACTGACTAATGGGAACAAGGCAGCATTCAGGAAAAATACCTAAGAGCAAAGTAACAAGTATGATCTAACAAGACTAGCACTAGACTCAAAACTAGGGCTCCACTGTACATCAAATGACTAATCCTTTCTGTTAACCTCTACATGGTTGCAATTGAGCTTCTCAAATTCTTACTTTGGAACTTCGGTTTTGACTTTCACAAAGAAACGTTGAAGATAACCGCTATTGTCTTCTGGGGGGTACCTTGTCCTTGAATTGGGAGCATAAAGGACTCTTAGAGCAATCTTCTTTAGATATTGGTGTAGGCATGAATTCATTCTTCTCCGTTTTGACACATCTTTCATTATCATGTCCTACAACTTTTTCTGCAACGTCAAATGCATTTCTCTTTACAGAAAGCGGGCAGGTATAGGCAGCCATGGAATCTGTTGCTAGGGTACGAGCAGGAGCTTGTTGAAAGCACTCGTCATCTTCATATTGTTTCTGTTTTTGTCCAAAAAGGGTTTTTGAAAATTGAAAACATCTTTTTGTTGTTATCTTCACCAAACTAGGTTTTAGTATTTTTAAGAATACTGTTTCTGAAAACCAAAAATCAAACAAAGAGGTAACATATGGTGCATAGTTTAATGATTTTCAATACCTGCCGATGCTTCCCCTGAAGTCTGGGTGAATCTGAATCTTCAATAGGCTTCGGTTGCAATCTACATGCACTACCCTTTGCTGGGCTGATAACTCTCCCATCAAGCCTGAGCTGTTTTTCCACCGGAACTGTAGCTTCCTTATGTGCATAATTTTGAACTTTCAGCTTATAAATCCCCTCGAAACCTGGAGGAATGTCGTTGCACAATTCCTTTTTAACTTCTGGCGAGGGCTGTTGAATTGCAGAATCCACCTCTCTCGAAACAGAATGAATCTCCGTATTTGAACCAGGCACGGAGATTATAGTAGCATTTTCTTCCCCGGAGGTTCCACAACTCCTCCTGGATGATTCTCTTGAATTTGCTATATCAACTCTTCCAACATCTTTTCCAGCAAGCATGTCAATGTCCATGTCAACTACACCGTCATCCCCATTAGCATTGCCGGTGTCTTGTGCACAATCTGAAGAAGGATGTTCCTCATTAAGCTTGCATACATCTTTATGCTTTTTGACACGACGAAAGACTCCCCAGAGAAAGTATTCCCCATTCCATCCTGTTATATATAGCATTGACATGGACAAAACTGTCAATCATCAAAATTCAAGCACAAGCCTAATGATGATGTAGCTCAATAAAGAAAAAGACACCCCTCGAAAAAGTTCACAGATGTATTCAGCAATTTTCTTTAAACATCAAGGAAAAATGGACATACAGACTCGAGAGTTTACTTTGAGATTTGGACGAGAGAAGTTTGGATGTAAACACAAACAACTCTACACCATCCATGTAACATCTCATCACCAATTCTTGTGTCTCCATGAACTCCAGGAGGAAGATATAATTTGCAGATCTACAATCCAACAGAAACAGAGTTTTCAGAGTCTTAAAGACGAAATTCTCCACAACCCAAGACAGGTATTAGAACAGACCTCTGACTGTTGTTGGAGAAGAAGTACATTCCAATATCATCCTCGTTTGGACAGTCATCCTGAAATATCTCTGTCCAAATACTGTCACGGGGAAGCATTTTAAATTGAAGAACTTCGGGCAATTTTTTTGAGAACTCGTAGATTTTGCGACGAACTTTTGACGGAGGATGAGCCCGGAACCCATCATTGAGTTCCTTATTATTACTAGTAACAATTTCAAAGCTTCCCCTAGACAATACAAACAACAAGATCGTTAGGCAGGCAATGCTTGTGTCTTTTCTGATTTCAAAGAATGGAAACTAGCTGCAGTATTACGTACCACAATAAGCATTATTTGTCAAACAAGAACGAATTTAATTTAAAAAAAAAGAAACTATAATATGATTGTTATAGAAAAGTTACTTGTTCTCATACATAATAAGAGATCAACTGGCAAGTTTGATAGTAAATGATTTAAGTCAAAGGAGTTCTACAGGTCAATCATAATTTGGAATTACAAAGATAATATTCCTCATAAAAGCATTTCTTTGAACAATGAAAGCAGGAAACCAAAGACAAATTCCACCAACATAGCAAATAGAAACTTAATAATATAATTAAATGCAATTCCATGAGAAAGAAAATTTCATTTTAATCCATTATTTCAGAAGGCAAAAATAAGGACTTGAACCCAGCTAAAAGCCCTTTGTGGCAGGAAATGCTCAACCTAAGAGTTGGTGGTAGCTAATGATAGATAATTTAAAGAAAACCGTTACATGCAAAAAACAAGAGAGTTAATTTCCATCAATATTAAATTTCCAAGAGAACAAGATCCTTCAGAGTATAAACAAACCTATATCACAGCATACACTCCAATAAATAGAAAGCAACAGAATTCCAATCAGAGAAAATGCAACCAGAATAGAGACTTAACATAATAACAAAAAATATAATGGAAACATTAGTAATTAGTAAACAATTAACATTTTTAACCAGTTTGTAAGGCCGGCAGTTCATGTAATTTAAGGCATTAGCAAGATGCCTTCTAAACGACAGTCCAATGATAAAGAGAAATATAGATTCCATATATTTTAAAAAATAACATATATTTCCTAACAAAACCTTCAGTTTGAAACGCCAGCATGATGCAGCTAAACTTGTCCAATTGATATTCGCCATATTATAACACGTTCTTGGCAAATTTAGAGAAAAGTTTCTCAAGGGGTTTGTTTCCACCACTTTCATCTTGCATGAAGAGTAGATGTGTCACAGTCATTACCATTTAACACAATTGCATTATGTAATTTTCCCAACAAAGAACATCCATCGCAGTAAAATATTTTTAAATATTTTTCCATTTTAAATAGCCTGCATAGTAAATGAAGAACAATAGAACACCACAAAAAAGAATACTTTTTGAGTATTGAATTTTGTCATCCTTGTTGGATGAACAGTGTTAACAAATATTTTGAACAAACAGAGATATATGGGATTGATGAATGGATATATATATATACTCACTTCCAATAAGAATGTAGAGCAGGAACTTGAAAGCATTTCTCAGCTTCAGGCAGAATATCTGTCAAGTCATGATTCTCAGCATCAAAATTTCTGGACTCCACATTCGCACAATCATTACCACCTAAAAGAAAAGATGTTCACCGTTTAATTCAAGTAATTTGATAATCAAATGACAAGTCATCAACCCACAGTCAGAACTGACCAAATTTTGTATACCATGTGAGAAGAGAATATTCAGCAGGGGAGAAGGAGGCCAACATGGGTGGGTTCAGGTACAGTTTGATAAAACCGACCTTGGTGGTTCAACCCAAGGCACATATAAAATTTTGAGTTTTTTTGATTTTGGTCAGGTCTATTTTCCTTAAAAATCTAAGAAGATTAACTAGCAGCACAATTTGTCAACTTGACCCATAAAGTTGCAGGCTCGAGAATTTGATAGAGCATGGGTGCTCTTTATATAATAGAGCGGACAAATCCTATTACAGCATAAATAAGGTGGACAGGAGAAAAATATTTGG